GATAAGAGGTCTGTCGTCAAGCATGATCTCGGGTGCCTAGACCATGCCTCGGGAGTAGCTACTGCCCTCTTGGTGGTCGGACCTTGACTTTTTGGCCAGTGGGGCCTCGGATGCTGGGTCATCGGCGAGACGCTTTTCAGCGAAAGGGGCGCTCTTCTCGGCCTCAGCGAGCTTCGAGATGGGCACAGTGTCCTCAGAATCGATCTGAGTCACTGTGGCCTTTGCCTTGGCTTTCTTCATTCGTTTTGGCTTTGGGGTTGGTTGAGGAGGAGAATATGAGGATTGGACTGTGACGACACTAGGGATGTTAGCAAGCAGGTCATCAACAACTGCAGGTTTGCGCCCCATCTCGTCGGCGGTGACAGCAACAGTGACTTTGGTGCCGAAGTGAACTACCGGTAGTGCAGTGAGTGGGTTGGTTAGATCGAAAGCCGACGCCTCAGCACTTTGGCGTTTTCGGCTGCGAGTTCTACCAGTAGGAGTGTTGGCGGGAACTTGGCGACGGCGTTGACGCTGCACTGAAGGAATTAGTTGGGAAGCAGATGTTGATGGTTGCTTTGCTAGGTTAGAGGTTGGGGCTTTGTCAGGCTATAATAATGAAGTGGTAGGAGGAGTTATTGCTGAAGGTGGAGACTTGCTCTTCTTGAGGACATCGAGCAAGGTGGATTTGTAGGTTGGGATGTAGTTAAGCACCAGAGGGGCCTTGCGCTGATTGACTGGCAAGCCCAGCAGCTTCTTGAAATCTTTGCTGGGGTAGAAGGTTTTGCGAAAGTCTTTTGGTGGCTGAGAAAGAGCTGCAAGTAAAAAAAACAGACATTAGAACATATAAAAGGAACAAAGGAATAAAGACTTGAAAACAGGTAAAGTGATACTTGGCTCTTACCATTACCCTCTTTAAAGACTGTTCGACTCAAAAGATAGAGGTGGAGGTCATCATCTGGTGAGAACTCCTAGTTGCCCGAGACGATGAAATAATCATCTCCAGCACCTTTGTTAGAGTCTGGGAGGTCGACAATAAGTTTGTACTCAGTGGATCTTGCCTTGAGATAATAGATGTAGCCTTTTTTTGATTTCAGGCCACACATGATATAATAGTATTGGATATCGGCTAGTATTATCCTAGCATTTTTTCAGCTAGCTAAAGCAATAATGCCATTAATGACTCTATAGGAGTTAATGGCCAATTGCATCGGGTTGAGCTTATAGTAATGAAGGACTTCTCGGAAAAGAATGTTTAGAGGGAACCTAAGTCCATACTCTATAAAAGCAACTATTGGGAAGGGCATGAAGTTGTCGTTGGGCATGATGAAGTCCTCCTCTCCAGCCAACCTAAGATGGACATCGACAGGGATGGAGAACTCTTTTCTAAAGTACTCAAGCTTTTTTGGGGTGTCCACTCTCCATCTAAACATCCCCATGACGTTGGCTAGAGGGAGAAGGTGAGAGATTTCAAAAGTAAGTGGTTTGTGTGGGTTTGAGGGACCTCGGCTAAACCCTAAATAGAAATTAGGGCAAGGGTTTTTCAAGATCAAGGGGAGTTTGTTACAGTTTTCCCAAGTATGTGATTTCTCTATCAAAACCCAAGCCTAAATCTATTTGGAAACACGAATCAATGGTAAGAATCTAGAAATAAGCAAGGAAAAATAGAAAGATGAACATGATTCAGCACCAAGAAGGACTCAGAGACAAAACAACAGTCAAGGCTCAAGTAAACAGAAATTCAAAGAACACTGAATAAAGTGTGTGTAGATGTGCACAAGTCAAAGACAGTGGCAAGTTGCAAGAACAACAAGTGTATGAGCAGTTCATGTGTGCATGTGCAAACCTAAGAGACAGATTGGACAAACACAGAATCGCAAAACAAACGTGCTCAACACACAAATGATGAAATTCAAAACACAAGCAGAGATTCAAAAACATGAACAGGTTCGCAATGGCAACAATTGATGCAAGAAAATTTTGAAGAAAATTGAAGACTGAAAAGGGAGAAGAACAACGACTCACCGAAGAAGATAACGCTGGTATGAGGTCACCAAAGTCAGACGATGGCAGTGAATGGAGCAGAACGGTGTTTGCTTCGCCGAATGGGACGAATAGAGCACGTTACAGAAGCTTCAAAACACGAAAATGGAGGATTTGGGGAAGAAGTGTTAGAGAGAGAAATTTTGATTGGAAAACGAAGGCTGCAAAAATGAAAAGACGGAAAGAGAGAGTGTTTTTATTAAAACACGAAAAGGCAGCAAAATCACAATGAATGTGCCTTGGACGACGTGCCTGTTAGGCAGAGCGAGCAGAAGCGACACGACCTAATGGCGCGTGTCAAGTACGGATCAATGAGAAAAAGACGCGTAGCGAAAACGGTTGAGAAACCGCGTGTGACAGCTCATGCGCAGATAGAACTCTAAGGATTCTTGATTTAATGGAGCGGGAACCTCGGCTAGGGGGGCGATCTCAGTTAAAGAACTTGAAAAACTTAGTCCTTGGTTTCTAGGCATTGGTAAAGCAGACTGCAGTCTTGGTCATACGGAGCCAACGTGTGATGACCTCGATAACGAATGATAGAATAAGTTTTTAGCCGACGTGCTATGTGGACAAATGATATAAGTTCCATCACCTCAAGATGCCGAGGTACTAGAAACTAGGGGACAATTGTGGGGGCATATTTTTGTGAATGACAACACGTGGCCAAGGTGGCACCGAAGTGTTGGCCGAGGTGCCACATGTCTTGGTCATGGCGCCGAGATTATCTGCGGAGATATCGGAATCCGAGATGAACGGATAAGGGTCAAGAGTTCTAGGATGGGAGAAGATCTCAATCTGGATAAGGATAAACTCTTAGGGAGTTTATCTTTATTTATTTAAGAGTTTAGGATGAGTATCGAGCCAAAGTCCATTGAAGCTAAGTTTCTATAGAGATCAAGTTAGTGCTGGCTATAAAAGTAAGGCACCCTCGTGGGTCTAAGATACGTTATTTTTTGTATTCTGGCTAGTGAGTTAAGTACTGTTAATTATCTTTGAGAGATAACTGAGTATTGATTTGATCGTCAGAGTGCCCCCGAGTGAACAAACTACCGTCGAAATCTTGTCTTTCTGTGACAGGTTGTTCGGACGAGATTTATTCTGCCGATACTTTCCACCTGAGTACCTATTTGGCAATGAGGTTAGAAATCAATACCCACAACAACAATCGTTCTAGATCTACCTACATTTTACTTGAAAAATTATATGAAAAGTGAGGTGCATTTTTCGGATAATTTTTCAAGCAAAACATCATGATCGATAGAATTTCTCCTCAACTCCTTTGCTTTTCATTATGATTGGGAACAATCTCCTAGGTAAAGGGTTTGGCATATGCACCTAAAAAAGTTATATTTTTTATAATAAAAAAAAATTATGATTTTTTTTTCTAAATGTGTTAAAAAAATTTACTTTTCTGTTTTGTCTCGTGTAGAAGGATGTAAAATGTCATGTGATTTAAATAATACTAAGACAAAATAACCAACTTTTTAGGCTTTTTTTTTTCTTTTTTTAATGGACATTTTTTTTCAAAATTTAAATTTATTTTTTATTTTTTTAGTCTCTCTAATCAAATAGAGCCTAAAAGTGTCAAACTTTCTGAATTTTTTTTTTAAAAAAAAGGGATAAAAGAAAAACAAGAAAAAAATTAATAAAAAAATCATTTCTAAACATATTACATAATGATCATGACACGAAAGAATTGATTTGTTAGTTAAAAGAGAAGAAAAAGTAATATAGTAAATTCTAATTACAATTTCTACACCTCTCTCTAATTATAAATTATGTTCAAAACACACAAATATATGTATATATATACGTAAATTCTTAATATGGAAATTGTATAAATTGTGTGAAGAGAATAGAAGAGAAAAAGAAAAGAAATGAGGGAGAGAGAGAGTCAAAACAGATAATCATGTACGATGTATATGTCATATGATACTACTGTTAAGGGGTGTTTGGAAATTAATATTTTTTAATAATTTTTTTACAAAATAAAATAGAAAAAAAAATTGACAATTTATAATAATTTTTTAATTTTTTTAAGTAAAACTTAAAATTCCGACACAAAGTCTAACGAGCAGATATGCATGAGTTGTATTTTTTATTTTTTATTATTTTTTAGCAGGTGCATGAGTTGTATTGTAAACTCAAGTTTCAGAGAGAGAAAAAAAGAATTCATGTTATCATGAGATATATTGGATATGAAAAAAGGAAAAAATGCTGACAGGCTGAGAGGGCACATGCCCCTGATAGGAAATGCTCGAAGGCCAACCAAAAAGGGGACGGCAATTTTCTTAGTCATTGATTGTTGTAGCACACTTTGTTTGGTTAAATATTTGTTGGTCCACTTGAAAAAATTGGATAAGTAAAGCTCAAGCAATTTCATTGATTGCTTTCTTCAATAGGTGGAGAATTGATGTATGAAAGCCTGTAATAAAGTAGAATTGTGCAGTACAATCGTTTGATAAAAATATATATATATATATATATTTTTTATTTTTTTGTAGAATTTTATTATAAAACAAATTTCATTTTAATTTTTTATAATTCAGTCTCTAAGTGAATGACCCTCTTGTCTATGGCACTGCTCTTTCCTTTTTTTTCTTTTAAATATTCTTTGCATAAATGATATTAAGACGACATATAATTATAGGAATGTACCATTATATCATTCTTGTACAAGTTTGTATTAAAAATCTATAAAAATAGTATTTTCAGGGGAAAAAAATAGTTATGCCAAACATAACTTCAAAGAGCTAAATATTTTGTGCAATTTTTATTTAAGTTTATAAAAAATAAAAAAAAAATAACTTAAATAAACTAAAAAAAATTATTATTGAAAACCTTGGCGACAAATGATTTTAACTTTATTTTTTAATGATCAGCTTCCAACTTGTAAAAGGTTACGCCAAACAGAACTCTAAAGAACTAATACTCTGAAGTGCATCGTTGAAGACAAGGCATAATTTCCTATCCAATGCTGGAAACAAGTGTTTGGTTTTTCTAATTCAATTTCATGCTCCAAAATATAGTGTCATCAAAAGGAATGTTTGTCATTTCTCCAACCTCAGGACACTAACTGAGGACTTAACCTCAATTTACCATAATGACCAAATATCAAAACAGCATAGAAAACAGAGCAAAGTACTCGATAAGACTTGTTTGGGACCTCTCCCCTGCATCATTACTCATTTGGACCAGCATGAGAACACTTCATCATTGCAAGAATGGTTCATTTAAATCTTTGTTTTCTATTTAAGTCTTGAAAACATGATGGTAATGGACAATGCTCCATATTCTCAAAGTTGAATTATCTCCACAAGTTTGGGGTCAAAAGGGCATATTCATTGTGCAATCTGTTCTTTCCCACATGTATTTACTAGATAAGTGTCATCTATTTTGCCTCACAAAGACCGGTGGCTTCATCGCAGAACCCATCCCTATCAAGCAGTTTCTGCGGCGGAGCACTTAACAGAGGGGAGGAAGGAGTACCATAGGCATTGCGTCGACTGTTTCCACAACCCAGGCTCTGTCTGGTACTTATCCCGGTCACAGGGTTTGTGCCACTTGCATATTTGCAAAGAGCCTGCATAAATAAACCCAAATGCGAAACGTGTAAATGATGTGAATTTTAGCACATTGCAAGAATATTACAGGAAGAAAGATGATGGCATATGTAAGCTAAACTGAGAAAATAATCAAAGAAGAATATGATGCAGGAGAATTTAAGCCAAAAATGACTCCAATAACTTTTCTTTTTTCTTTTTATTATTTTTTTTCATTTTTTCATCATTCTAGAGGATTATCTTTAAACATCTACCAAGAAGAAGGCCCTACTTGGCTAAGGAAAGGCTACTTTTTAAGTGTTTTAGTCTCTACTTAGAAATCAGATGGCATGGGGATGACACTTTCTGCGTGTGGATCAAAATCTCTCATATTGAACAGGTATGGATGACACTAGTAACCATTTCCACATATTACAGCTACGAGGTGAGACTTAATTATTACAAAAATAAAACTATCAAAAATTAAAAATAAAGGAAGATATATAACACTTATTTATCTACATTACTTCCCATGACTTGGCCACTTTTTGCGTAGAATGCCAATTATCCATTCATTTTTTTGTGACCATCACTAGGGCTATCATCTACATAGATCAATTGTACCAATCCATTATGCTAAGCATAACTTATGTTTATAACACATTTTGATCTTCAGATAGGCACAATTCAATGTTGATTCTCACCCCAATCTTTTACTTTGATTAACCAAATTGATCCAATTAACTAAATTGGCTCGGTAAATATCCAATTCAGTTGATGAGAAAACTTTGGGTACTCAAAATTGAGCATCTTCAACCAGGCTAGTTGTCAACAAACAAATAACTTATGCAAGTAGCGGAGGACAAGACCTTGAGAACACGCTCAGTGGTCATTTGAGTTTCTCATCAATTAACAGTTTGTTTACTCAGATAACCAATACATTAATCAACATTACAAAGTATTAACAAATACAAGGTTATAATGCTTCTAAAAAAGGCCACTTATTTATGGTCCTACATGGATGGATAGATCTTTGATCCATGCATTGAAAAACTTGCAGAATGTGAGGTCAGTTGCTTCCGAGAATTTTAAACGTGTATCTGTGGTCTGAATGGATGCTCATCTACGGCAACTTGTGACAACAATTTACCTCATTAATTGCCTGTTTGTGTGCAAAGTCATTGATCTTGTCAAACTGTCAAACACCCACAGGCTTTGGTTGAAATAGGCTCAAAGAGATGGTTTGGGCTTTCTAATTGGTGCCTAATTTCTGCATGTGCCATTGTTTTAGGATGCTATATGCTTTATTTATTAATTTTTTTAAGATTTTCCATCGATAGAACTCCACAAGTTGTTTCCAGTGATGGAGCTTATTACTGTTTATGGGTAGAATTAAGAGATTCCATAGGCATGATTGTACAAAAACTACATTGTATTCTAACTTCAAGACTTATTTATTCTACAAGATGGAAGTGACAGTTTCTTCCGATGCAGTCTTTGGACGATGCTGGCAAATACATGACTGTTTCTTCTGGTCAACTTGAATGCAACAACTTACATGTTAAATAGATGTTAATGCACGGTCAAGAAATTTTCCAAGGTTGATGATTAAGCAAATCAGTATTGGATCCAATAAATTAACTGTAGCGAAATTGTACCAGTTTCTGGGGAAGATCCAAAACAGCATCACTGAAGTCAGCACCTTCAATAACAGCACCTCCAAGATCACTACGGGTGAGAACCGTTCTAACAAGGACAGCATTTGTAAGATTGGCTTCATTCAAAACCTATTGGGACAGTAAACAATGTATATTGCATTAGTCAATTGCTATGAAGCAAAGAGTTTCAGCTAAGAGTAATTTTAGATAATTGTTACCGTGTATAACACTAAAAAAGGTTAAGACCTCCTTACAAGAATTCTCATTGATTATAATTAGCAATTCCTTTGTGATTTGTAATTAAAAAAAACCTTTACAAATGAATATTGATCAATGTTTCAGTCGCCTTACCATACGATCCATCAATGTATCACTCAAATCAGCGCCTGTAGAATTGACAACAGAATTTAAGACCAGAGAGAAGAAGAAGAAGAAAATAAATGAAATTGTGGATATTCTTAGGAAAATACAACAATAGATATTTCGGATCATGGATTTGTGGAGGGAATTTTTTTCCCTTACATTTTCCTTTTTCTCCACAAATTCATGATCCAAACATAGCCTAGATGATATTGATCTAAGAAAACATGCCATTCAACATCGTGTTGTGGACTCCATCTGAAACATTGATCTACAATTTTTACATGGTTATTGTGGAAATGAAGAGCATCTATTTACCTGTAAAATTTGCCTTGTATGCAACAGCTTTCTCTAGGTATGCACCATTGAATGTTGACCCACTGAAATCAGATTCCCTCATATCGGCAGACGTGAAATTGGCTCTTCTGTATCAGCCATTTAGGTTGATTAAAACACATGATTCCACTGAAAAGTCGCAGTATTGAATTTCAGCTACTATTATTTAGCCAACACTTCCAACACAAATTAGGCTAACTCATACAAAGTTACAATTCAATTTTCACTGCTACATGTTGCGGCTTCATCTAGCTCATACCACCCAACATTTTTAAGCAAAATGGCAATTCAACAATGAACACAATAGTTCACAACATGACGCCATTATTTGATTTCAATTATTTTGAACTTATTTTGTCCTCCCCTACTTCAATTTGCTGTCAAACATAGATAAAGTGTTAGGCAACATCAATGCAAAGGCATTATATTTCATCAATGGGCAACAGATGAAGACACTCGCCTGAAATTTTCATTCACATGAACTGCTTTCCTGCATGACAAGAAACATTTTAGTATTTAAAAGAAGCCCAATTTTAATAGGTCTATATTAAATGCAAATTTGTCTTAAATGATGTTAGTTATAACTTGAAGCGGTGTCAAATCAAAGTGGTTTAGCCTAAGAGATGATTCAAAATAGCCCAATTTTGATAAATATCATTTTCAATTTAATGTAACAGTCTTGTTTACGACTCAAAATTATTCCGAAAAAGGTGTCTACTGTAGCCCTTATCTTAAGGATGTTTTTGAATAATTGATTTGTGGAAGGATTTACGGGGGAATATATATATATATATATATATATTCTAATAGACACACTCCTTTAAAATGTGCATACCATATGCACCTCTAGTTTTAGTCATTGGGTATAAAAAATAAATATGAGCCATTGATCAAAACCACGTTAAATCGAAAGCAATACTACTTCGGGGCATAATTGAAATCTCTTTGGTCATAGCCAAAGCTACCACAACGAGTCATAACCAATTTTAATTTGACAATTTATCAACTCCCACTCCACCACCACAATGGCAAGCAACAAAACACAACAATATAACCAACACCAATTCGAACCATAACTTGCATATATAGTATGCCCTATGTTTATTATAGCATGACCGTTTATGGAGGGAAAGGAAAATGAAAAGAATATATATATAAAATAAGGCATGAGCAAAATTTAGTTATTTTCTTGACTTGTACAAATTAAACACAACTTTAAAAGAAATATATAGACATTTTTGTGTGAGAAATGGACCTGAGATCTGCAGAACCAAATTGAGCGGCCGATCCAATCCCAAATTCGCCTCGAGTCTCAGCTTCGAACTTATTGAGATCGGCAAGGGCAGACATGTTGGTGCCGAATGTTAACACTGCAGCTGCCAATGCTGTTGAAACTAATCTTCTCCACTTCTTTGATTCTTCTGCAAATGGAATTAGTGCTAGAATTTTTTTTATGGATTATTCAGTTAGTTTGGGACTAGTAAAAAGAGTAGAGAACATGTGAAGAACTTACTGTGAATATGATCTTCATAATCTGACTCTACTTGACAGCAGACTAGGAATGGTTTAGAGGAAGGCTTGAGAGGAGGATTGATGATAAGCCTATTAGAAAAAGTAGAAGAAGTTGGTGATGAGGATGAGATGCTTATGGATTTCATGGGTAGTAGAGAGATTGAAGTGAGTGCCATTATTGAGATGATGAGGGGTCTCTTTGCCTCTGTTTAGAGATATACAGAAACAGAGAGAGTCTAGGGAGATGAGTCTCGCAACCACAGTAAATTATCTTGTTGATCAGGATTGGTAATGGATGTGCACACGTGTGTTCTTATGTTTTTGGCTTTTCGGATGCCACTTGGATTTCCTTTGATTATGCTGAATAAGAATATGGAAAATTCTATTATATACCCATCATATTATAGGGTATTCGAAATAAACTAAATAAATATGTTTTTTTAACTTTTATAAAAAATATAAAATATAAATTGAATTTGAAGTGATGTCATAAAGCGGTGATATGATCTGAATAAGATAATTATAACTCAAATATAATAATGTGCTAAAATAACATACACTGTGCTAAAATAACATATACTATACTAAAATAGAATGCACAATTACGCTATTTTCTTCTTTAATTATAATTAATTTTCTTCTTTAGTTATGACATTATTTTGAAATATTTAATTATGACCTTCTTCTTTTTTTAGCTAGGACATCTCCAATAGTTCATTTTCTATTATTATTAAATTTGAATAAAAAACTTCATTTGATATCAAATGTTCGAACGGAAGAGTTTAACCTTTTATCAAAGCACCGGTCGACTGGCTAGATGTCCGGCCGATTGACTAGCTAGTGTGTGTTTTGTTTTTACAAATTTTTACCTAGAGGTGGTCATTCGGGGGACATCCAGTGATGAAAATCCAACGGTTATGAATAATGATTTAATGAAGCTCACAGGAGTCTTCAAGTTGGTGAAATATTGTTAATATTCTCGATTTAATACTAATTTGATGAAACCATTGGAGTAAAAAAAAGATTATTTTTTCATCAAATTTAAATTTGATGAAAGAATTGATGAATCATTGGAGATGGTCTTATGACTAAGAAAGTATTGAGTTATGTACTCTCTCTCTTTTTGTAGTTATAAGGTGCATATTGTACACACCCTTTGAGGGGTGTGTTCTATTGTCTTTCCAATAATAATAATAATAATAATAATCATAATAATAAGGGTCTTGCTAATAAGTGCTTCTAGGATACAAGTAAAAGACAAAAACTTTGAAGAACACAAGATATTTTTTACTAAGGCTCTGTTTTTTCAACATAAAATATTTTACACAAAAAAATATTTTTCTTGTAAATTGATTTTACACAAAAAAATATTTTTCTTGTAAATTGATTTTACACAAAAAAAGTTTTTTGTTTTTTGGCGTTTAGTTGACACTTGAAACAAAAACATTTTATAACCTCGAAGGGAAATTTTAATTCAACAAAGTGACATTTATAATTTTTTAGCGAGTTAAGATATTTATTTGAAAAAACTAAATGTGTTAAAAATTTAATGAGTAAGAGTCAACTTTGTAAAAATTAACTTTCAAAATTTTTAAAAATAAGTTAGTATTTTTATTTTTAAAAATGATTAAAAAATATTTTACTTGCTTTTTATTCAACCAAATCACGAAAAATGAGTAAAATATTTTTGATAAAAATATCTTATGTCAAAATAAACGGAGCCTAAATTCAATACATTTTTTTAATAATTTTAGATATTTTTAAGATATTTTATACACACTTCCCAACATTAAATAATATATTGGAGACATTTGCTAGCATTTGTCTAATAATGAGGACTAGTTACACTCACATGCTGAGGTTTGAAAAAAAAAATATAGGTTTCATAATTTTTCCATAATTCAATTGATCTCTTTTTAATAAGATTTTAAAAAGATCAGAAGATGATGTGAAAATATAAGTTAAATCACGAAAAGCATATATTTTAATATAAAATAGATGAAAACATCACTTTTCAAATATGTGCCTGATAAATTATCAATGAAAAAAGAATTAAGTGGCATCTAAATTAAAATATTAAAAAAATTTAATGTAATTATGTGAAATTATAAGACATGCCGTACTAATTCCAAACTATAAGAGAGAGCAGTGTATTTTACCCTAATAAGAACTATTGCATCTGTCTAGGAAACTTAAGGCTAGAGATCAAAGTCTAAAATTGGTTACAATTTCAGAATTTATTTTATGAAAAAATTTCAAACACTAGTTCTGATATGGAAAAATTAAAAGCGTTTATTATATTTCTATGATTTTTCTCAATTTTAAGGCAAAAATAATTTTGAAATTTTGGAAAACATTTTATTTTGATGATCTTTATCTCATCTTTGGATTATTTGAGAAGTTGGTTAAATTGCATCGCTAACGGGGAAACAATTGGCTTGTTTGCATTGAAGAAACATTTTTTCATAATATTTTGACGGATGCAAATGAATTTAGATGTGGATATTTTTCTGTAGCAAAATATTAGAAAATTAATTGTGTATATTTTTAAAAAAATTAATTATCTGTGATGGTAATTTGAATACTGCAAATGACTATTTTTTAATAAAAATATTTAATATTTATTATGACCAAATCGGTGGCACTTGACCTAGAATCACCTAACGGTGGTCTACCAACTATACCTAATATAAAGCCATTCTATAACAATTCAAGACAACAAGAAAACAATAGCGATCAGTTTGGGAGCATCACCGGGGAGTCACACTTTTTCTCCCGCTGGGGAAATACCCGATCTTTACCGAATAGAAAAGCCCTACTCTCAACCAATTGGGAGTGATTTTCAATATTATTTGCTACAGCATGTTGCCAATGCAAAAAAAATGATCTTTTTAGTAATCCCAGTTTGCTCACAATATTTCTCCTTCTTTGTCTGGAAATGTTTTCCAAATGTGATCCCAACATGTTGATGGCGGCTGCTTCCAGCCCGAATGACCAAATGCGACTCCCAAATAGATGTTGTGGAAATCTTGAAATATGAGAATCATGAGATACAATCATGGAGCAAAGAGTACATTTGGACTGTAAGACAGATTTTGGAGACAAAGGATATGGTGCCCATATTGCATTCAATGTGCAGCTATCAGTGAACCATTAAGGAAAAAGGGATAACAATGGACCAAAATAGGGGGCAAAGCTTGCATAGCCATTACCAAAAGTAGAGGCCAAAGGTGACATGTAAAGTGAAAAGTATGCATATGCATAAGATGCCACAATTACCAAAATGCTTTACTTTTTCATTCTCTTGCCACTGTACTGTAGTTATCAATAAATGCTTCAAAGAAAGTCTCCTCATCAGTGTAACTATTGATGAATCTCTGTTAAAGATGATTCCCTGTGAAGTTAGTCACTCCATTTGACCCCCTAAAAGCCAGAAGCTTTTGCACAAACCACATGCAAACTAGTCTATAAAAAGGCATGTGGTTTATAAAAAAGAGTCCAATGATTTGTAGAAGACATATATGGCCAGTGATTTTTTCAGTTCTGCAGGTTGGTGCTGTTAATGTGCGACGTAGAAAAGCAACAGCAGTATTAACTTTAGGAACGAATTTTCAATTTGAAAGTGAGGAACAGATCAGTCTTCACAGTTGACAGTTTCCTTGGAAACTGAAATCCGGCCACTCTAAGCACAAAATAATTATGAGAGAGAGGGAGAGACAGAGAGATGGACTGGGAAATGCCATAAACAAATCAGTTCCAAACTTCATCACTTACCATTACTGTTAAATCCCACCAGAAAAATCATTAACATATGAGGCAAGTTTGAAAGCAACAAGAAGCTTAACCAATCTTAGAATATCAAGAACACCTAATTCAACAACACATGTTCCTGTAAGAACGCTCGTGCGCATTACAAGTTTGGTCATGCAAAAAAGGAAACATAAACATAATATCATCAGTTAGAGAGGTAACGCTAGAATATAGTCAAATTGTATGTGAAAATAGATGAATTATCATTATTAGATGAAATTTATAGGTTATAAAAGAATGATAAATCCCAATAAATTAAACTAGGATCCCTGGAGCATGTACTACATCAGGAATGAAAAAATTGTCCCTCAAAACTACTAAAGATTCATATCAACAAAACTAGAATTACACACCTAAACACTCACAACCACAAACCTCACTAAGCAAGCCAGGCTCCGACAAGAAACACGAAGGAGACATCCCGATGGACAATGTTCAGTGAAAAATGGAAATTACAGCACATATCATCATTACCAGACTCGAGAACAGTTTTGATTGATTACCCATGATGGATGTTGCCGAAGAGATGTCTTGAGGCCTGAAAATGGAAAGGAGATATATAGTAAGCACAGGTAATTGAAAAAGATTCAAAGTATATAATATTTGATTTGACACAGATGGCTCCAGTACATACTTTTGCATTTTGCTGAGGGCACCACAAAAAAGCGCATTATCTGGCATGGGATACTCAGTTTTGTTACTGGCCTCTGGATTGACAATCTTGATATACGTTTCCTGCCCAAGATACCATGTGTCAAGGTTTTCTGTTCTCAAATTCCAAACTCCAACATTGTCAAGGAAGATTAAGATTGCTGTCCATGCCCCAGGGAAAACCTGTAAAGAACAGAAATAATGAAACTAAAAGGTTCGGAACAATTGAAAAGGAATGTATCACACACTCTAAGCTTTCCGGATAGAGAAGTGATAGTGCTTGAAATGAATTTCTATAGTGCCAGCATTAGCTGAATGAAGGTTACACAAAAAACGGTTATAGAATTGTTAGAGAAAAGAGAACATAAATAATCTAACATCAAAACTTGTAGTTTAAAAAATATTATACAAGAAAAAAGCAAAGCAAAATGAGTCTTCCCAAAAGTTCTTAATATCCTTTCAAATGCACTTAACATTTTAGCTAGCATGCATCACAGTCAGATCTGAATAACAGCCAGTCCTATCAAGCTTTTTTCTTCAAAAGCATTGCAAGCAAGAAGTGACCTCATTCAACAAAACAAATGTCATTTGAATACAGTGTGCGTTGAATAACATGCAATGAAGAATTCATTTGCCTAGCTCAATTGGCCAGTTTATGAACATCTTGTATCTAAAATGAGAGACTAAAGATTCGCCAGGTGGATGAGGTGCTCTCTTACAGAGTGTAACACCCAGTTTCGAGTCTCACCAATACATGATGCAGCTTCTCCTTCCCCTATTCCCCACCTACCTATTGTTATAAAAATATATATATACATAATACCAAATTATTTTTAGTTCATTTGCTCAAAAGAATAAATCCTTCCATGTAGATGAAGTATATCAAGGAGCCAATAAGTAGCTATTTGTTCATTAAAGGACACATCCAGATACCCTACAGAGAGGTATAGATCTAAAAAATTGACGAAATATAGCACTCTGGAGCCTATGTTCATTATGATATGTTAATAAAATCTGCCATATTTTCAAAAATAAATAAATAAAGGGTTAATTACGCTAATGGTCCCCATAGTATATGTTATGTTACACTTTAGTTGCTAATCTTTTAATCATTCCACTTTGGTCCCCCAAAGTATGCAATCTGTTACAGTTTAGTCTTTGATGTTAGCGCCATTCCAAATCAGTAACAGAGGAGAGGTATTTTTAAAATTTTACATGAAGCCTCAACAAAATCAAAATGGCGAAATACACACATGGTCTAAAAGTGTGCATTTTGGTTCTTAAAGGATGCATTGCGTTTCAATTCATTTTAGTCTCCAAAGTATGCACTTTCTTGCAATTTTTTGTCCCTAATCTTTTAATTTTGTTGCATATTTTTGTAAAATTTTGAAAATATTCCTTCTCCCGTTATTGATTTTGAATGGTACAAGTGCTAGGGATTAAAGTGTAACAAATTGCATACTTTGGGAACCAAATTGGACCAATTAAAAGATTGGAGACTAAAGTGTAAGAAAATACATAAATTGTGGACCAAATGTGTAATTTACCCAAAAATAAATAAATAAACTTGTAACTGATATACATACTGAAAATTCTCCAGTGAAGAAGAAAATGAGAAGCTAATAAGACAAACAACATAGCTTTAGGACGGAATCAAAATCTTGTCAAAAATATATATATATATATACCTGTGTTGTGGTTCGAGCAACACCATCCCACTTGTTGTATGTGCCCCTGCTATTCTCTGTCCACTCACCATAATCCATCCTGCAATCAATTAAACAAAGTATGGGTTCTTTCAACAATGTGCAGAGAGAGAGAGAGAGAGTATTCATATGGAGAAGTAGATGCGATGAAGTTTAGAGAACGAAGCCAATTCTTACCCAACCACAAAAAAGCCATATCCGTCCAGGTGATAGCTTTGCATCTTGGTGTCATTGTTTTGCAATATAATTTCCATAAATCCTCTATATGTACCATTGATTATTGATGATTCCATCTTAGGAGGTCCTGTGATTGGCCTATGAGGGAAATCAAGCTTGTACACTCCCTTCAATTTGAATTGGTCAGCAAGCCTAATTGGTGTGGCGGGATTGACAAATGAGATCCCACTAAGTGTTGTCCGCCTTTTCCCGTTGATTGTCACAGGTGGCTTGTTTTTCAACACATAAATATCAGTCACGTTGATTGAGCCATATCTAAAGGAGCCTTGTGGGTTGGGACGAGCACCACTGGCGGATACATTCCACCTGCACAATGTTAACCACAACACTAATCAGTGACACAACGTTAATAACAAGTTCTTTAGAACTGAAAACATGGAGAAAGAGAGATTTATTTCCTAACATATAGAAGAAATAAAAATGTTAAATTATGCCAAACATTTACCACTACGAATACATAAACAAATAAAATCCGCTAATACCATGAAGATGGAGAATAACATTGTAATAAGATGATATTCGCAAATAGTTGAAAGGGTCTTGGGGTAATTAATCCAATTTTACAAATAGTGTTTTCGTCATGAATTGATCATGATGTTTATTTGAAGTTCAGCAAGCTTGCAATGGAAAAATATGAACAATTTATAGAGCCAATAATCCTTCCTGAATTTGTTATTATTCTTGAAATGAAAACGTGACGTTTTAAGGGAAACAAAAAAACAAAAAAAGAATAAATTACATTCATGTAATTAATGTTTCATTGCTTCCAAAACATAGCGAACAAACCTGATGGATTTGGCCTGGTTCATTGAAAAGGTTTTGTCATATTGATCATTTGGTGGGTCCGGAAGAGGACCAGATGCCTTCCCTTTCGAATTTGAATAGTGCAAGATAGCAACACCAGTAACTCTTTGCCAGAGTGATTCATTCACAAACCTGGCACTTGCTACAATGTAGTAATCAGTACTTGCATTCTGATCCATGGTTACCAAGAAAGAATAAGATTGTCCAACATGAATATCTAAGCTAGTGTAGTTCTGCTGTACTGTATATGATCCCTCTGTTTCTGCTAAAAGCAGGTTATGGTTCTGGATTCTGAAATTCAAACTAGTTGACACTCCAACATTGCTTACACGAAATCGATACGTTTTGCCTGGCCAACATCGTAATATAACCAATTAGAAGTCAAGAAGAAAAAGGGGAAATGGAAGAAAGAAAAACAATCATTAAGTTTACAAGTATTGAGACATGTCCCAATTGTAAGTTTCTGAATAATTCCATATATTTAATTGGGTATATTTACAAAGAGTTCAGCAGTTTATATAGCCTAAACCTATGACTGAAAAAGGAAATACAAAGAAAAGGAAATTGCCTAATTCCTAATATACACAAGGAAGAAAATGAAATTGCCTAATTCCTAATATACACAAACATGCCATATATACAATATATATTCTCACACCCTCGCTCAAACTCAAGGTGTTTTAGCAGAAAGTACTGAGAGTTCTCTAAGAATAAACTGAAACCGAGTGGTAGTGTGAGTCTTGGTGAAGAAGTCCGCAAGTTGCAAAGTCGAGGAGACAAAAGGAAGCGAGATAGAGCCAGACTGCAGATGCAGTCGGACAAAGTGACAATCAATCTCAATGTGTTTCGTTCGTTCATAGAAGACAGTATTGTGGGCAATTTGAATAGCACTACTATCACAATCAAGGTCGGTCGGAGAAGACTGAGGTACACCCAAATCAGAGAGAAGACAACGAAGCCAAACAAGCTCAACAGTAGCATGAGCCATAGCACGGTACTCAGCTTCGGCAGTAGAGCGAGCAACAACAATTTGTTTCTTACTTTTCCAAGAGATCAAGGAATCGCCAAAAAACGTACAGAAACCAGAGGTGGACTTGCGATCATTAACATCACCAGCCCAATCAGAATCAGTATAGGCCACCGAGTCTAAAGAAGAAGTAGAGGACAACAGCAAGCCCTGAAAGATGGTACTCCAGAGATAGTGAAGAATGCGAACCAAAGTAGCGCAATGGGTAGAGTGTGAAGCAAAAACGAACTGACTAACCACATGAACAACAAAAGCAAGATTAGGGCAAGTGACAGTCAAATAGACTAAACAACCCATCAGCTCGCGATAGACCGTGAGATCATCCAGATGAACATCATCAGTAGAGTTGCGCTTCACATTAAGCTCAATAGGTGTATCAGAAACCTTAGTATCAGTAAGACCTGCACGGTGAATAACCTCATTAGCATACTTGGCCTGAGACAAAAAATAGCCCTTTGGAAAAGAGGCAACCTCAATATCAAAAAAATACAGCAATGGACCCAAATATTTCATTTCGAAGGTACGGAAGAGATGTTGCTTGACCGAAGAGATAGCAAAAAAGTCAGAGCCAGTGATGATCATATCATCCACATAGAGTAGAAGAGCAACAAAACCAGCCGAGGTATATCTCAGAAACAAAGTAGAGTCGGAAGCAAAAGGATGAAATCCAAACTTGGTAATAGCAGTCTAAAAGCGATCATACCAAGCACAAGGAGACTGCTACAAACCATACAGAGTACGCTGAAAATGACAAACTTGCCCAGAGGAGTGGAGAAGACTAAGGAGAGGACACATGTAGATCTCCTCAGAAAAATGACCGTTAAGAAAAGCATTCTTAACGTCAATCTGATAGAGAGGCCAATGTCGAACAGCAGTAACAGAAATTAAGGTACGGACAATAGTCATCTTAGCAACAAGGGCAAATGTCTCCTCATAATCAATACCATACTTCTGTGAGAAACCCTTGGCAACCAAGCGAGCTTTGTAGCGTTCGAGAGAACCATCAGAATTAGTCTTGACTTTATAGACCCATTTGCAGCCAACCAAATTCTTGCCAGCAGGCAAAGGAACCAACTCCCAAGTGTTAGTCTTTTGTAAGGCAAACAACTCATTCTCCATAGCTTGAACTCAATTAGGATCCTAACAAGCCTCCGTGTAAGACTATGGTTCTGAAAAAGAATGAATAACAGAAAAAAAGATACGATAGGAAGCAGAAAAACATATATTAGACCAACCCAACCTGTTTGGAGGACGACGCTCACAAGTAGGATATCGGTGTGCAGCAGGATTAGAGTCGTCAGAAGCAGAAGGAGCAACAATAGGAGTAGAGACAATTGATGGTAGAGGAGCCTGACAACAAGAATAGACCAACAATGGAGGGAAAGCAGAAGCCGAAGGAGAAGAAGGGGCCATAAGTGACGCAGACAAAGAAGTAGGAATAGGCTCAAGAGGAACAGTGGAGATGTATTCATCAAATGGGACCTCAGAAGGAAATGGGTCAATGTGAACCAAATCCTCTTCGGAAACTGGAGCAGTGAGAAGGGGAAGCTGAAAGTAAGACAGACGTTCGAGAAAGGCAACATGACGGGAGACATAAAGGCGACGAGAGACAGGATCGTAACAGCGGTAGCCTTTCTGAGTAAAATTGTAACCCAAAAAGACACAGACGACAGACCGGACATTAAGTTTGGTCCTATCTTTGCGGGGAAGGAGGACAAAACAAGTAGACCCAAACACACAAAGAAAGGAGTAGTTAGGAATTTTGGAGAACAAAGCCTCATAAGAAGACTAACCAGAAAAAAGGGGAGTAGGCATGCGGTTGAGAAAAAAAGTAGCAGTAAGAATCGCCTCCCCCCAGAATGGAGCCGGAACTGAGGCAGAGAGAATAAGAGACCTAGCTGTCTCAAGGAGATGACGGTGTTTATGCTCGGCTCGACCATTTTGGACAGGTGCATCTGTATAGGAAGTTTGGTGAATGGTACCCAAATTGGCCAAATACTCACAAAACTCATTTTTAAAATATTCTCCACCCAAATCAGATCGTAAGCGGTCAGCAGACAAATATCCTAATCTGGAATGCCACAAATACAAATGTCAAAGGAAGGTACGATTGGTGGCCACGAACTAGAGACTGAACCAAAATGGTTGATTCGAACTCAAATGAGGACTAGGGTTTCGAATGTGGCTCTGATACCATGTAAGTTTCTGAATAATTTTGCATATTCAATTGTGTATATTTACAAAGAGTTCAGATGACTGAAAAAGGAAATATAAAGAAAAGGAAATTGCCAAATTCCTAATATACACAAGGAAGAAAAGAAAATTGCCTAATTCCTAATATACACAAGCATGCCATATATACTGTTAAAATAACTGATGTATTATTATTGATTGTTGATAGATGTTAATGTCTATTACAAATGGTTCCTTATATAGATGTAGGTGTAGTGGATGGTGTGTAGTGGATGGTGATAGTGGTGTAGTGGGTTAGGTTTAGTGGAGTAGGTGAGGTGGTAGTGGTGTAGTGGGTTAGGTTTAGTGGAGTAGGTGAGGTGGTAGTGGTGGTAGGTGATGGTAAATTCTAACATATACAATATATATTCTCACCCCAATATCACTACCCGAAAAAGATGCGTTTCATATTTTCAAAGCAGACCAAAATGTTCCCCTTGGGGAGGTTTGTAGTTTTTTTCCTTTTGATAAATAATAATTTTTTAGAAAGGCATCAAGGAGGGTTGTTTATAGTTTTTATTTCCTTTGTAAACATTTAGAAGTTTTGCACACAAGAGGTGCTCTCACTAAAGTATAAGGGCGAATGTTTATTCCTAAAATATGCTTGTCCTCAACTTTAAAAAGGAAAATATATCAAGGAAGAAAATCAACACTGATGCACATAATCACACAAGTACATTCGACTGTTGAAGCCAATAATTTGGTGGAAATATAATTCCCAAGTTGTAACACATGACAAAAGAACATGCTATGTTAAATAGTGCCCGTCCCAATGATGGTATAACAGACACCATTAGTCTAGCTATCTCTAACACTGTCCTATATCGTAATTAGCCCAAAATAACAAAGCAATAATTGAATTAATTATAAGAAGCAACCAGGCACACCCTAGCTTAACAAAGCAATAATTAAAATAATTATAAGAGGCAACCAGGCACACCCAAGCCTAGATTTGAAGGTTGAAAGTTACTTCAAAAGTAGGTTTGATGCATCAATGGATAATTCCAGGAATGGAATGTCAAGGGTGAGCTCATCAGGCTACGTTCCAACTTCTAAATTGGAAAAATAGACTAATGCATATGGTGAGAAACAGATAATTTCTAGTAGATTCTTCACAAACAATGTCTTTAAAAATACTCACCTGGGTGGACATCAATTGTTTCATAGTCAATGCCGTCAGGGACAAGTGTAGAGTTATATTTGTAAGGGCCTTTCCCGTTAATAAGAACACCATCCGGCATCCCAAGATCTTTACCTCCATTAAGGGCCCTCCTCAAAGCCTATACCAAAACAAGACCAAAGAGTGGATACAATTACATGCTAATCTTCAATATGCACCTAAAAATAGTCAATTTTGGCAATTCATCAAACACTAACCGTGTGGTTTCGAGTGAACCAATCACCAATCATAATCGTGATATCTCCATCTGGGGTCGCAAAAGGAATCGGAATTATAGGCCTATTATTAATGATAAATCCACCATAACCACCAGAGGCCCTTTGAAAATTGGTCGACGGGAAGTAAAAGAAACTCCCAATCTGATCCTTCACTTGGAATTGGTAAGTCCAATTCCACTTGGAAGGAATCGGGCAATTCGTGCCCAATACCCCATCTTGCCAAGAACTTCGCCTCTGATGAATACCAGCCCTGTTACAACCATTGATTGTAAATCTTAAATCACATTCACAGAAACATAATCCCAATCAACTTAATATGAAAAACAAAAAAAAAAATACTAAAAATCCTACCAAGTCATGAGAAGGTCCTCATCTAATTTGTTCCGTACATTGACGACAACATTGTTGTTAGTAGTTACATTAATGGTAGGCCCTGGAAAATTACCATTAATGGCAATAACCTGCAGTTCAAAGCAATGCAGCTCAAGGTAAGCCATTAAACCCTAGTAATTCTTCAATATTATCTCAAAGCTCACTACTGATATTACAAAATTTGAAGCACATTTTGCAGATCTAAGGCTAAAGTCTCAATTTTTGGACAAAATAAAACTAACCCATCAACTGTTTGTGAGAATTCAGACAACCCAGATGGAAAGATTACAGAGTAACCGAGTGCAAGCACAGTGAGAGAGTTGAGAGAGAAAGAAAAAGATATGAAAGCGAACCTGTTGCGGCACACCTAGAGGTGAAGCAGTAATGTAAGAAACCTCAAATTCGTAGCTAACAAACGGATCGTCAGCGAAACAGAGGCTGGTGAACAAAGAAATGTAGGTAAAGAAGAGCAAGACAACACTATGAGAAGCCATGGATTGGACTTTTTAGGGTATGTTTTGAAGAGAAAGAAGCAATTTTTCTGAGCTTTTCGGTGCTTTTACATTGACAGAGAGAGATGAAGAAGAGATGGAAGCAGCACAGGATGGAGAGATAGAGAGAAAAGCTAGTGTGTAAGGGTGATGACTTTCTACAACGGTGTGGGATGTACGTGGGACTTACCCTCACACTTATATAGAAATAGAGAAAATATTTGATAAAAATTTTATTAAAATTTTGAGATTTTTAATACTTTTCAACGTGTAATGTATTTTAACTTTTGGGTTTAGTTTTTCTTGGGCATAAACGGTTGGCTAAAGGGTGGATAATCTCAGGCTTTTTGTCGGTCATGGCCTATTTTGAGTCATCATTTCATATGACTGAAGGAGCATGCATAGGCCGTTCTAGAGGAGAGAGAAATCTACAGACAGATGGATAGGACAATCTGTAGGGAGAGAAAAAAAAAATTATGACACATCACGCGACTACGTCTTAAGTTAATTATAAATTTTATGTTTTTTTTTTTAAAGTATTTTAAGAAGTTAGTTAAAAGTTAAATTTTTGATTTTTTTTAAAAATACATATAAAAAATAAAGAGTTGATATAATTTAAAAAAATTAAAAAGCCAAAAAATTAACTTTTAATTATATCAAAATGGTCTTTTATAACTTTTTATTATTTAATACAAAATTATAAATCTTACACCACGTTTGAAAAATAGAATTTTTTAATAATTTTTTGACTTTTTTATTAAAATATGATATAAAAAATTAATATGTTTAGAATGACTTTTTATTTTTTACAAAAAGATATGTAAAAAATATAAAGGAAAGAAAATCTTTAATTTATTAAAACAAATTATTAATTTTATAATTTTTTTAATGACTTTTAACTTTTAACATTTAAACTAAAAAATGATGTTACTAAAAGGAGGTTTACTTTTCTACTTACAATACATAGGTTTTGTTTGGGAAGAAGGATTGAGTTGGATTTGGAGTTATTTTAGTCACAAAAAGATAAAATAAAATTTTTATCTTAATAAGATAAAATATCATATGTAATTTATAATCATTACATTCTTTCTCAAACAAAAAATTAAAAAAATTATTTTCAAACGAGACTTTTTAAACCTAAATTAAAATAACTAAAAAATTAAAAAACTAATCCACTTTCCAAATCAACTCACATAAAACGCCACGGGCTGCTTAATTGCTCCAACCACTAGAAAAACAAAGGAGGGGATGGGGTGCCACGGCCAGACCAAACGCCAGATTGGACACACGCGCGGCATTGCTTTTAATTGGTTAGTTTTGGCGCCATCCACAAAAATTATTGCGTGGTTTGGGGCGTTTTGGCTGCATAGTAAAAAATCAACTTTTTAATTTTTTTGAGTCACATTATTTCTATTTTTTTATATAAAAAAAATCAAAAAATTAACTTTTTACCAATTTCTCAAAACATCTATTTGTATGCCACGAAATAGAGAAATTATTGGTTAATTTTGAAACACCATCACGTGATGTCTAATAGTGTTATAATTGGTCAAGGGATAAATTATGTCGGGTGTAAAACATGATCTCGTGATGTCCCAATGGTATTGCGATTGGTGGAGGGGTAAGGGTTTACAAATTTATATTAAGTAATTAAAAAAATATGAAAAAGCATGTTAAATTGTACTTGGTGTGGAACATGACTAAGTGACGCTCAAGACCAACTAATAATAATAATTTTTACACGGAATAAGTGATAGTTGTGTTTTTTATGATTTTATGGCATGTTACACTGAATAATTGCTCACCAACTCAATATGCATCTCCCATTGTTAACCAATTTTTTTTTTTAATATTTATTTTGATATTTTAATCTGTTGTTGGATTAGAGTAGTAATACCAGTATTGTTTATTAATTAAAAATTAATCTGCAGATAGAATTTAAATTAATCTGCAGATAGAATTTATTTGTTTTTTATTTTAATGGGCTGCAGATAGAATCTTCATAAAAAAGCAAAACTTGCTTAAAATGATATGTGAATGTGATTCTCATTTAAAAATGGTAAATTACACTATTCTCCTTGAACTTTGTTAAAAATCCAACAAACAATCATAGTTTTAACATAATTATATTAATTTCTTTTTTAGTAAGATTAAAAAATTAAAACTAATATTATGAAAATATAAAGATAAATAAGATAATATGAATAATAAATTATTGATAAAAAAAATAATAAGAGTTATGTAAATTAAAACTTTAAACGAGTATTACCCTAAACTTGTGTAATTTATTATGTTTTGTTGAAACATTTGGGGAGGTATCTTGTTTATCTAAAGTGCCTGTCATTCTAAGACTTGACATTCTATTTGGACACCATACTTCTTCTAAGTTCATACCAATCACTATGTGCCATTTTGGGAACATGATAAAAAGTTACGTTTTTGGACAAAAAAGCCAAAAAAGTCATTTGGCAAGTGCTAAAAACGCAGCCCTAAAATTACAAATTAGGGCCTATGAAAAATAAATAAAAAAATAACTCTCTTATGTTGGGTAAGGGTATTTTGGTCATTTTAGTTTGATTTGACACCATAAATAAATATTAAACTAAAAAGCAAAAAGCCAGCTTTTTACCAACTTCCCAAATCACTTCCAAAAAAGCCAAAAAACTTGGTAAAAAGCCAAAAGCCAACTTTTTACCAACTTCCCAAAACAACACAATTTAAAATTTTTATTGTACGACCATTTCACACCATTTTATTGCCTTAATTCCACCATCAACTTTCAAATCTAAGCTTATTTGGTGTAATTAATAAAATAAATTATAAATTATATATTATGGCTTTAATCAATAATTGTTAATATGTTTGATGCAGTTATTAGATTGTAAATTTAAGTTGCTAAGTAGTGTTTGTTAAATAAATTATAAAATAGTTTTTTTGATATGTAAATGTCTTTTTTACTCTTGTTAATTGTAAATTGAATTAACCTTTGTTAGTTGTAAATTGAATTAACCTTTATTTTTTGCTATTAACTACTAGTCCATATTTTTAGGGCTGAGCAAGAAATCCGTGAAATCTGTAATCCGATCCTGTCCAGTCCAATCCAATAGGTTTGGATTGGTTTTTTGAATCCGTGGTTCGGTTTTGAATTGAAAAAATTAAAAATCCGTAATTCACGGATTGGTTCTGGATTGAACCCCACGGTTCCGGATTGGAACCGATCCGGACCGTATACAAATAGTCTATATTTTTATTATATACCTTTTTGCATAGTTTTTTCTCTTATTTTATATAAAACTTAAATCCAAACCTAAACTCACATAGTATCTTCTATTATTTTATATAAAACTTAAATCCAAACCTAAACTCACATAGTATCTTCTTTTATTATTTTTGTTTGCTAGTTTTTAATGTTAATTTGTAATGGTCTAAATACTTATGGTGGAACCAGTTTTCTTATAGTTGTTTAAATTCTAGAACAGTATGTCGCTATTATAAAAAGACATTTTGTTATTGTGAAACTAATATGGTGCTATAATTATATTTTTATGAATTAAAGTGTTATATATATTTTTTTGTTATTTAATTATGTAAATCCGTGGTCCTAAACCGATCAAATCCGTGTTTAAATGGATTGGTTCGGATTGGTTCCACGATTTAAACGGATTGGATTGGCTCCAATTTTTCAGGAACCCTAGGTAACGGATTGGTCCTGATTTTACCCAAATCCGGTCTAATCCGGACCATGCTCATCCCTACACATTTCCCATAAAAAAACAAATAATAAAAAAAGTTAGTCCATAGTCCATTTGGGTCTTTTTTTTATTTTAAAAAAATAAAAAATTTAAGGGTATAATCATAAATAAGCTGGTACAAGTAGAAGCGATGGGTAGATAATTTCTCATAATCAACTTTTTTGAGTTAAAATAAGTTACTAAAATTAAAAACAATTTGAAACAAATTAAACTAGACGGTTCAAAATAATTTTTTCAAAAATTAAAATTTATAAGGTCTCGTTTGGGAACTGTCCCTTTTAGTCAAAAAGCTAAAAAGTTATTAAATTAGTCAAAAAGTCAACAACTCATACCAAAAAGTCAAAGATTCTCTTTTATCTATACTTTTTGCACATCTTTTCGTAAAAAGCTAAAAAACTATTCCAAACATACTAAGCCTTCGTTTGGGAAGTGGGTTGGCTTTTTGACTTTTTGGCTTTTTTGGCTATTTTAGCATGGGCTAAAAAGTTTGGTTTGGGAAGGGCTTTTTGACTTTTTAACTTTTTTGGCTTGTTTTGTGAGAGAAGAATGTAATGATTATGGGTTAGATGTGATATTTTATTTTTTGTGGCTAAAATAGCCTATTTTATCTTTTGTGGCTAAAATAGCCAAAAAAGCCCCGTTTAGCTCTTGCCAAACGGAGCTTTAGAATTTTTTTTAACTAATATTTTAGCTAAATAACCAAAAAATTACTAAATTAACTTGTTTTCAAACGAGGCCTAAGTTGGCTAAAAAAATACCACCCCAAACACCCCCATTATCTCCATCGTTTGTTGCCACTTCTACCACTAACGGTGTTAATTCCCAACCCTTCTCCCTTTGTCAGTCACCCCTTCCCTAGTCCCTTTTCTCTTTCCCTCCCATCACCCCTTTCTCTTTCATCTCCTCTTACCAAATCCCTCTCATATTGTCTCTTTCTCCCCATTTGCCTCACTCTCGCAATTCTTGTTGCGTTCTTCTTAAACTCCTCCATAGCTTGCTTCCCTTCGCTACCACTTATCCTTCACATCACTTCTCTCTAGTCCCCCATCTTCCGTCTCTTCCTATCTAACCTCTCCCTTTATATCTCCTCTTCTCCAACAACTTCCCTTTCGTTGCTCTCTCTCTCTCAACTTTCGTCATCTTTCTTTAGGCTAGATCTAAGGGATCACAATGATAGGAGGCTAGAGATGAGGATCATGGTGGTGGGGCAACGATGATTTGGAGGTAGGGTTTGTACCTTTAATAATAATTTATTTGAGGGACAAAATAACAATTATAATAATTAAAAATAGTGTGAACTGAAAGGAAATATAAGTTCTCCTAAGAATTTTGTTTAAAAATTAATATTGAATTATCCTTCTTATTTTAGTAATGAGTAGTCTTTGGAGGGTGTTTGACAATTTATTTGTAGCTTTAAAATGCATGTCAATGCCAAGT